CCCCCCCCCCACGAACTCGCGGCTTGCCCGCGTCCACTGAAGGATTCTAGGCCGTAGTGGGATGACTACACATGCACCGCCTCCTCCCTCCCGATTCCCATCTTCGGCCGCCAACCGACGCCCGCAAGCGTCTCGACTTGTGGCCCTCTCTCCCAAGGCTGCCCGGGTGAGTCTCGGACCCCGCCAGGACCTTGACGCGTCGGCGGGATGGCTCCGCCCCCGGGCGGTGCTGTGAGGGATGGTAGGGGGTTTGTGGCAACGACAGCGACGAATCGCCATGCACCGTGCCCTGTCCGGCAGGGTCTTTTGTCGGCGTCTCTTCCGGCTCGATGCAGCAGAGCTTGCGCTCCCTTTCCGGTGTTGATGACTCCCACCTCGCTCTTCTTGTTTGGCGTTCTTTTGTGTTCCGCATCCTGGGCGCTTGTTGAGCGCCGGGAGCTAATGGCCAGTGGTCCTCCCCTGTCGGCAACCAGTGCCTGCTCTGACCGCGACATCGCTCCATGTCGCCTCGTCTCGGCTACGCGGTGATGTCCCATTATCGATCGTCCTCCACGTGGGGGGTGCCTCGCTTGAAAAACGGATCCGGTCCTGGCGTTGGGCATCCCCGATTCGGATAGTGTCCGTCGAGATCTCGATCCGTGATTTTTGTCGTCTTAACAAGAACGCTGTTGCTCAACATCAAGCTGAGTGGTCGATTCGCTTGTTCGCGATCAAAAAAAGCCGTCTCGCGAGGTCGTTCGGGGGTATATATCCGTCGTGAAGGGTCGTAACGTCATCCGCAAGACAGAAAGAAAACCCAAAGGCCGAAACAAAAAAGAGAAAGAAGGGGAAGAAGTCTTCCAAGCGAGTGCAATTGGTTTCGATGGCTTGAACCAGAAACAAATGCGCCAGGGGGGTATCTCTAAGAAAAGCCTCTTTATGCCGTATAACCGATGAGGGGAAACCAGGAGGATATGATAAAAACTCAAGAAAAATGCGGGAGATGCCATAGCGAAATGGCCTTCCAGGCTCGGACCTCTTGCCGAGCTCAAGGTTGCATTGCTGCGTGTTCCTCTTGTGTAGTAGAAAAGGCGACAAATGAAACAAGGAAATTCGAGAAAACAGCCTGCCTGTACCTGCCCTGCCGTAAATGCAACAAATACCCGCCCGGGACCCAGCCGATGGAGAGGGGGAAACAGGGAAATCAAAGGAAACAGCTGGCGACCGAGCTAGCGGTGTGGTGGTAGACGAGGCAACGATGATAAGAGGAGAGTGGACCAGAAAACCCAAAAACGCTCGCTTGCTGAACCAAAGAGATGATGATGACCGGACAAAGGAGAGGATAAGGAAACAGAACAAGGAATTATTAGGTTTGCGCCGTTGGTATAGTTGGAGTGGTGTCGCAGGCTCGCTCCAGATGCAAGAAAACGCCCGATATGCCGTTTGTTGATGATCGCCTCGTCGCCGCCGCTGTTTTGCTCGTTGCCAGAAGTGTATTGGTGTTCCGTTCTGCTTAGTGGCAGATTTGCTTGTCCCTGGCCCGCCGCATCTCACAGTGGAGTGAGAGTCGGGGGACAAGGTGTGGGAGGAACGCTTGATGGTCGACGTCAGGAAGACGTGACCTTCGGGTGGCCAGCTCCAGTGACAGACGGTGGTTGTCACATGGTGGTGGTGTACTCCTGGTACCTATCCCAGCCGAAGCCGCCGTAGCCGACGCTGACGCCGCACTGGGGCGCAAGCATGCTCGGCAGAGGAAGCTGCGGGATGGGCGAGGTGACGACGGGGGAGCTGTAGTAGTACCCCGCCGACGAGAACGGCTGGCTGAAAGACGGCGTCGGCGAAGGCAGCTGGCACTCGGTCATGGCCATGGTCGCCCAGATGATGTTGTCCGAGCCGGCCGTCGTGGCAACGACGCCGGGGCTTGATGGCAGGACCCTCCAGGAATCGACGGGCGCGGGCAGCGACGTCGGGATGGTGGGCTGGGACCACATGCTGATGCCTACGGGGGAGCTGGGCAGCAGGGGCGGTTGGCGGACGACCTCGATGATCTTGGGCGGCGGGGGCAGCAGGGGCTTCATGAGGCCCAAGATGGCGTTCTTGACATCTTCACTCTTCCCGTTGAGCAGCTCGCCGGCTCCTTCCTCCTCCAGGCCCTCGAGGGCTGAGACGTGCGTGCGGAAAACGTATTTGTTGATGGCCTGGATGAACTCCTCGTGCAGCTTTTTGCACTGTTGCTCCTTCTCGGCCCAGTCATAGGTGCTCGCCTTGGTGTTGGGGCAGTGGACCTCCTTGTGGTATGCGATCAGGGCCTCGATGGTGTCCGGGGTCAGCTTGTAAGCCACCTCGCTGCGCAGGACCATGTCGACGTGGACGATGTAAGCCTCTACGTGCACCATCTTGTAGTTTGATATGGCCTCCTTCAGGGGGTCCGAGTCCTTGGTGAGCTCCGAGTCGGGCACCTTGGTGAACATGAGCGAGGCCAGTGTCCAGATGGCATTCGGCGACGACAGCGTCTCGGTCAGACACCTCTGGTGCTGCGGGATGCTGTTGAGCGGGCGCTTTACCCTGTTGATGCGCTTCAGTGTCTGTGTCAACCAGGGCTCAACCTTGGAGCCGAGGACGACGTTGACCGAGGCGGCGCGGGGAGCAAAGGCCGCAGCCGAGGCCGGTAATAGTTGCGGAGGCATGGTGCTGGGTTGTTTGTTGTGTGCTTGGAAGCGCCGGGGAGAGTCTTGGGGCTAACTTCCGGTGACCGAGGTCGGCGAACAGGAGCTGGGAGATGGCAGAAGAGGTGTGACAACCGGAGTTGTGGTAAGGCGGTGGTGGAGCACTCGGAGGAGGGGAGGGGGGACAGGAGTTGGGGGTGGGCAAACGAATAATAAAGGAAGAAGGGGGACGGAGCCGGGCGGACCCAAGACAAGGGATCGAGCTGACGCGCCTGCAACCGCGAATGGGAAGAAGGGAAAGGAGGACGAGGTTACCCGTAAGGAGAGGGAAGAGGGCGAAAGGTGAGAGTGAGATGGTGGGTGGAATCGATATGATATACGGGTAGCAAGCTAGTGAGTCGGGGCTTTGTTCCCCGCCCAGTAGCCCTGTCTGTCTGGTGCTCCCGATAAACACCGGGTCTGGGAGCACACACCACCACCTACATATACGCATTTACTGTACTGCGGCTACCTCCACCCTCCCACACAGGCACGCCGCGGTTCTGGAGACACATGGGGCCCTCACGACCCTGGCGCCGCAAAAGGCCTTGCCGACAGCCTGCGGTGCATGCAGCCAACTTGGCCCAGCCCGCAGCTTTTGCCCTGCATGGCGAGGACGAGTGGCCACTTTGGAGTACGTACCGGCCTGCCTACCTGGGTACATACGGGTGCGCAGCTTTCCCTACTACTTGGTAGGCTAGCAACCTGCGCAGCTGTCTGCTGCTGCTTAGGAGGGTGTGCGCAGGAGGAGGGTACGGCCTAGCTGTGGGGGTGTGCAGTATAAGCGGTGGCCATATCGGCCGACAAGAAGAAACGAGAGACCGAAAGGAGAAAAAGCAAAGGAAAAAAAAAGCACGCCAAACTGGGTCAAAAAAACCCTGCCTGGCTGTCGAACTTGCGGAACTACCGCTGCATAGCAAGCTGGGATCGGAGCACAATCCAAAAGAGAAAAAAAAAAACGGATGGCGCTAGTGTCCCTGGGCTTGGTTTCTTTCCCGCTGCAGCTTGCCTCGCTGAGCAAGGAAGCCAAAAAAAAACAAAAAAAAACCGCAGGCCCAGGCAGTGGCGCCACACCACACCAGACCAGCGGACCGATGGGTGCGCTTCACTTGCTGCAAGCCCACGCGTGTGGGAAAGCAAAAAGGAGGACAAGGGGAGAAAAAAAACCGAGGGAGAAAATGGCGGGGCAAACCAGGGGTGTAGGATGGTGGAAAGGGGAGGGGTGCGCGAGGTCTGGTTGGGTCGACGGGTGGCATGTGGACGCTTGGGTGGAGATCAGCAGGCATCGAAAAGGACCCATGGATCTCCGAAGGACGGCAAGGAAAGACCCCAGTCTTTGAGCGCGGTACGTACCACCACGGCTTGCGAAAAAAAGCCCTGGGTGAACGTTTCGTGCCCAGCGGCAGTGGTCGGCCCCACCACCCCACTCTGAGGCAACTTTTTCTTTTCCCTTTTTTTTCCCTTTTCTTTTTCTTCCCTGGTGACTCCAGTCCCGTGCATGCAGTAGGGTACTGGTGGTGGGCTGTGCTCGCGGCCTGCATATGCTGGATGACAGGAAAATCCGAGCGCCTCTCCCCCTCCCTCCCAGCGATGGGACAGCCGATGGGGTGCGGGCCCAGGCAAGCCAGGTTTGCAACCACAGCTGAAAGGTGCATCCAGTCTTGCCGGTCCTGGCGAACTGGCCGCACACTGGCCCAGCGCCACCCTCCCGCGCCTCTCCTCCCCGGACTGGAAGGGCTGGCTGCAAAAGAGGGAAAAGTCACAAGCCGCGCTTCCGCACGGGCGCTCTGGAAACCGTGCGCTTTGTCGGCCGACAGACGTGCGCGCTCGGTAGGTGCGCTGGAGCTCGCATCACTCATGTGTGCCGCCTCACTCGTCCGTCCAGCCTGTCTAGCCGGTGTTTAATTGATTGCTTCTGCAGGCCGGCCAGCGGCGCATGCTGGAAGGGAGGCAATTCCAAACGACATTGCATGCAACGACCACCTCGAGAGCAGCTCTAATATCAGGAGGCTGGGCGCTGCAGGGAGAGGAGCTGCAGAAGGATGGGAAGAAGGAAAGAGAAGGGGAAAAAAAGGCAGTCTTGGCCAGCCTTCGGGAATTGACTGATATTGCTCTGATATTACCCACACCATTCGATTTCCCCATCCATATCCCAGCAACCCATGGATACACCATCATGGCATACCTTAGCTTGCTACACACCACCCCCGTAGCCAAAACAAATCCTGGGCCGCCAGAATGCGCTCTGCGCCAGGACGAGGAACGATTGCGTCCACCGGGGCCGTCGCCAGGAGAGGCCGGTTGGTTGTCGGGCGCAAAAAGAAACCAGAGTCCTGCATATTGAGACTCTAGGACGAGGATTGTGAAATCTGATATTGGATCGTTGCCTATTGGGCCTCGGCGGCTGCTCTTGCAGCGCCGGATGCATCCCCGGACCCCTCTTCGGCCGTCTCGCACCCACCACCACGACTCTCTTGGGCCGTCCCAACTAGCACGTACGAGTCGCGGGCTGCTTGCTCATCCCTCAACAGTCCGCGACCCGGGGATCCATCCGAAGGCCGGCGCATCTTGCGGAGTGGTGTGTCATGCAGGCCGCATGCGCGGTGCGCCTGTGATGGATAGCAGCGCATGCCTCGTATGCCGGCAGCTCTATCGGAACGAAGGAATCACACTTTTGTCCTTGCAAAGGACGGACCCCTCTTCCTGCGCAAAGGGCAAAAAAAGCCGTGCTTATCATGCAGCGCCGTCCTTGGGGCCCACAGGACCGTAACCGCATGGCTGTTGTTGCTTCTCTTTGCGCTGACACTTACAGCGCCCAATTCGCTCGATGAGATTGTTTCAAGCCTTCCCTCATCTCTTGAAATTGGATCATCACCACCGTCCTTCCAGTAGGGCCCGGCTGAGGGCGGAGCTGAAACCGACGACACATGACAGTTGAACAAGAATGGAGGATAGCCTCAGCAGCGAGCGGAGAAGTGTCTAATTAGAGGAAAGCGCAACAAGCAGCAGGGCTCCCGGCTGTCCGCTTTGGGACTCCCTACCCCATCACTGTCCATCCATGCTCGGCAGAGTGTGGGCGTGAAGGAGGGGAAGACGCAGCTTGACGTCCCTTGGGCTTTGAAACACGACCAAGATGTCGTGGTTCGGTATCGCGCGTTACCTAGTGGAACGGCGCCTACCAGGCTGGGCCTGTCCCTGCTCTCGGTGGCGGAAGGGGATCGGCTTAAAAGCGGCCTGTAACATCTCTGCTCGTGTCCACCTGCCCAGAAGCGTCGCATTGGCGAGGGAGAAAGAAAAACAGGGCCGGCGAGGGAAGCCGCCGCGAACCCCGTTTTGACTCGAGCGGCCCACGAAGGTGGTTTACTCATGCCAGGTCTGGGGGTAGGGTAATAACCTAGGGGGTGCTGATCGTCCATCCACTTTGAGGAGGAACGGATAGGATACACCAGGGAGCAGAAAGTGCAGAGCCACCCCCAGAGGGAGTAGAAAGGCCTGGGAACCCATCTCCTGTGCCCGGAGGGTCGAGCCTTACTCGGACTAGGGCGGCAAGGCGGACAGGGAGACTGGGAAGAAGCGAAAATGAACGAGAGCCAGTAGATAGCTTGTGTCGACAAAGTCTCATTTTTTCCTTTTGAGGAAGTCGGTCTTCTCAAATCTGATTCGCTGTTGAGCTCTGTCAGCCGGCCAATGAGAGAAAGGCCGAGGGGGAGGCTACGTGATTGGCAGAAATTCAGAATCGAGGATGGATACGGAGGGGGCAGGGGTCGAGGCCTTGGTCTGGTCCGTCATTCTAGACCGGAGGACAAAAGGGCAAATAACACCCGACACTTGTGGATTTTTCTCTCTCTTTTCTGTGGGATCGGGAATGTTGAAGCGAGAAATGAGAAACGTTGCACGCTTGCATGAAAATTGACCGTGGCCGGCGACGAGGCCGTGACACAACATGCAGGGGCGTGGGGAAAGGGCAGGAGAACGGGAAGGAACAGCTAAACATTGGACTAGGCCGGCAAGAAAGGACGCTTGACCTCACTTACCAGAGCTCACACCCAGCGTGCCGCATGCCACCAAATGGAGACCGCATTGGACGCCTGCTGGGCTTTCGTAGCTCCCGTTGGAAGAGCGGCAGGTAGTGGGGGCCGTACAATATGGACTCATCAGAAGCTCAAGCCAATCCCCGCGCCAGGAGTCCAGCTTCGCGGCCTTGGGCCACACGTCCCAAGGCGCCCATCATCAATGTGACGGGAATAAAAGACGCGTCTCCCTGGTGTTGGGAGGAGTCACTGCCTCCTGCATCGTCTCGCGGCCGCAAAGACGCAGCGGCACCGCGCCGGTCGATTGGGGCAGCGACAGGAGCACGATCGAGGAGGTCCGATATCGCGCTACCAGCCCCATTTGTGACACAACTCGGCGCGACGAGTGCGAGGTCGAGGGAGTTGGCTCGGCTCTCGCTTGGCCGCCGGGGGGCTCGCCTGGCATGGCCGCGCGCCGGCGGCGAAATAGCGCGTGGTGACTCAATTAAAGACTCTGCCGGGGACATGTGGGTGGCTCCCGTTCGTCAGGGCGCGTACCTGCGTGAAGTTGTCATGTGACGGGCGGAGACGAGGGAGAAAAAAAAAAACCTGGCAGCGCACCCGAGCAGTGTGGTGACGACAGCCACCTCAGCGCTCGCAAGGGCAAAAAGCGCGCACCAGCTTGGCGTCGGCTACCCCAGGTCTCGTCGTTGTGGCACATGCCACAAGCGGTCTTGACCGGCCGGCGGTCAAACAGTAGCTTGGGCCAAGGCCTTGTCAAGGCAGCCAACATTAAGGGACGTGCACCGCTTCTGCCCAACGCCGACAAGTCCTCACCGTCCGTCCGCTTCCCGCCTGTGCTGGGAACTCGTGCAGCCCGAGCCCCTTTGGGGGCTATTATTGCTGCAGCGCATTCGGCCCATCTCTGCCCGTGTGATCTGCCCTGCTGCCCATTGTGCGGTTCCCTCAGGCGTCTGCCCTTGTGCTGCACCGCATTGCACAGAACCGCGTCCTGCAGGCGAGCCTTGGTGAGGGCCTTGCCAATCGACCTCGCTCGTTGAAACCCCGTGACCACTTCCATGTCAGTTGACTCGGCTGATGGCGCTTTGGAATATTGGAATTGGTCCTTGACTTTTCTTTTTCTTTTCCCTTCCTTCCAATCTGATATGCGCCCGAGGTCACATGGGCGCTTGAACCCCTCCATCTTACGATTCGCATGCACATTTCCGTCTCTGTGGTCGAAGTCAATGATGAGGACGACTCATGGAGCGTGGTTGGCGGCGCGGCTGCCGAGAAGGGACATGGGTCGAACCAAAATGACCCCTTCTGGAGGGTGTTCTCAGTCGTTTCTATCAGGCCACCTTGTCCCTACCCGCCCAGCTTGGTTAGAATCGGCTTTATGGTAGGCGACAGGTCCACGATCGTTGGCGCGCAATCCACGCCCCCCGACGATCTCGTTCCGTCTTCCATGGCTAAGGATGCCCCAACGTGGTGGTGCCTGGTACTCTCCGTCAGATCCACGGATCTCAGTGCAGCCGCTTTGCGCATCCAGCAACACCAATAGAGACGACAGACGGATGCCCATCTGAAGCATGCATCCCCTAGCTCGGAATTTGGCGACCAGGCGCCAGGGAGAGAATAGAGAATACGATAAACTCCGGAACGTTGGCTCTGGCACTGGCGCAGGCGCGGTTGGTACTGGTGCCAGTTCCTGGGTAGATTCAAGTATACTAGCTCCGGGGCCCATATAGTCATGTCCAGTCGCCAAGGTAGGTACCTGGATTCTCCGACCAGTTGGAGGTCGTAATCCCCTAGCCGCTCGATTCCAGGCGCGACAAGCTAATCTGCATTCTCGGCTAATCGGGATACTAAGAAAAGCGCTGCGGTGATCGGCCGAATAGAAACATTAGGAGATGAAGTCATGATGGGAAGTCAAAATTCCCGGGCGACGGGACCTGCCAGTCGCGGCGATATGCGGATGAGGCGAAAGGAGGTTGTGGTGCTGGTGGCGCAGCAAGACCAACTGCATCTAGGTGTGTCAGGCTGCCAAAGGCTTGGCAGAAGGGAGGGATGGCTCGTAGAAGGATCTTGGGTCGTGGTATGAGTTCAAAGGGGAATAATCGACTCTCGAATGGGGATGCCGAGGGCGTGGGATCAGTAGAGCCAAGAGTCTATCTGTGTCTCTGGCACCCTTTCTCTGATGTACCGCAGGAGGTTCTTCCCACTCCTGCCCACCACGCCTACCTAGACTAGGGTGGTGGGTGGCACTGGTGCTAGGTAGGTGGTGGTAGTCACCGTGAGCACGTAGGAGGCAGTGAGTCGACGGCATGTGCATGTACACATGTGCGCTTCAGGGGCGGCTCAAGGACAGGCCGCGGCGGGCTGCTAGCAGCCCCTTCAGGCCCGTTCGTTTCCCCAGATCGCCTTGAAGCAAGGAGGGCCGATGGAGGCGAGGATCGCTTATGCTTCTGTGCTCGTGTTCCTCTGCCGAGGTGTGCGCATCCTTGACAAGCTGAGGACCAGCAACCGCTAACTCGGGGACTTGCATGATCGGCTAGCCGCCCGCCCACTTTGGTTCCTTGGCACGCGCCCGGCGCCGCCTGGGAAGATGCTTGCTGGCAGTGGGAGACGGGCTGGGTGCACGGTCGCACGGGCTGGAGGCTTAGCAGCCATGGAGGGGCACCACCGGCAGCCCAGAGCCGGGCACGCCTGCAGGCCGTCCACTGCAGCCCCCTTTGTGCCGGCGGGGTGGCGGCTCGACGGCGCGGCGTGCATGTAGAGAGGCCGGGCAGTAAACAGCGAAGTGAGGCTGGGAGGCAGCCAACTCGACCCATTTTTTTTTATTCCAACGAACCCTTCTCCCCTCCGGAGGCCACCGCCACAGCTGGTGACGTGGAAGCGACCTGTTTCCGACTCCGACTGCAGCATTTTCAACCTGGAGCTGACGCACACGCCACATGAAAGGAACAAAAAAATCTTGTTTCATCAGAGCAGTCCCATCAACACGAACACGCTGCCAACACATCAAGACTGTCGTGCAGGACAGGAATGCCTGCTTTGCGCGTGGATGCCAAAAATACCATCATCTGCCTTTGTATGTACCTAGACATCGGGCGCGATATGACCCAAGGTTCCCCATGACTCTCAGCCTACGTGTGCCTTTTCGCCACAGTTCCACACAGTCTCTCCAAGGGAAGAACATCGGCCGGAGGAGAAAAGGTTATCCCAAGGGAATGGCTGGGAACCGCGCACGTCCATATGGAAACGTGGCACAGGCGCAGATCAATCGCCACGAGTTTGACAGGCCACCCATTGCTCGTTGTCATTGCCCGGTCTGCCGTGAAGGCTCGGCTAGGCCCCGGGCCACGATGTGCCGGGCTCGGTGTTGGGGTCCCGGAAACGCGTCCGATTTTCGGCACGAACCGTGACAAGCGGTGTAAACATGTCGCGAAGCCCGAGGCGCCCAAATCTCATAGCATGTGTTCAGATGATATATGCGGTCTATACCACTATTCGCTTTCACATCATGTCAAGGATTCGCTCAACCTTGCTGCGCTGCTTGCAACCCTAAAACACGAAGCCACCTACTCTCACAAGTGTGGCTTTAATGTGGAGGTGCTGTTCCTGGGGGTGGGGGTTGGTTTCCCCAATCCCGGCAGCTGGGGCCAGGCGTGGTTAAGTTTAGTGTTTAGTGCACGAGGCAGCCTGGGTGGTTCCAAACGCTGACAGAACACATCGCCAGAGCAACGATTCCGAAACACATCCATCCCAGCTTCAGTAGCTCACATTGCCTCGATGCCACGGGCAGTTCGGACCGCCTGATACGGACCATCGATTATGCGCCCCTGATCGATTCTATTCGAACCGCTGTAGTGGCCGGGAGAAGCGCCAGTTCCCGCTCATCTTGGCCCCGTCAGGACCCTTGGCGACCACGCGACGAGGACGACACACGGCGGCATCATGGCGGACCAACCCTCGACCCAGGCACAAGGGCAGCCGAGCAGCCAGCCGCAGCCGGCAAAGACCGCCGCGGCCTTGGCTGCAACGCAATCGCCTGCGAAGCACATCAGCTCCTCGATCCCCGTCGGCTTGAACGAGGCCGCCCTTGACTCGCCTTCCTTTCGTGCCGCCTCGGCGCACTTTGGAGACCAGACCGAGGCTGTAGAGCGGTGGCTTGATGCCTACGTCAAGAGCGCGTCTAGGCTGGTACTGGATGCCACCTCGCTCGAGGAAACTATCAACAACTACATATCCAAAACGTCGCCCGCTCCCGCCGTGGCGGATGGTGTCATCGATACGGACTTTACACTTCTCGCCCTCAAGCGGGCCGGCGACCTGGCACGCGAGCGATGGTCCCAATTCTTGGCCTCGACGCGCCGCATCGAGACGCTCTCGGTCGAGCCTATCCGCAATTTCATGTCGGGCGAGCTGAGGGTGTTCAGGGACGCCCGTAGACAGCTAGACCAGGCCCAGCGCAGCTTCGATACCGCCCTTGCCCGCTACATGGCGCAGTCCAAGATCAAGGAGCCCTCGGCCCTCCGCGAGGATGCCTTTGCCCTCTACGAAACCCGCAAGTCCTACCTCAAGTCGTCCATGGATTACTGCCAACTCGCTCCCCAAGTGCGCTACAGCCTCGACAAGCTGCTGGTCCGCGTTAGCGCTGATATCTGGCGTGAGATGATGCGTTCCAGTGACCCTGCCACCTCGTCGGCCAAATGGGCCGATGAGATGGATCGCATACGTGGCTGGGCCAAGGAGCTCGAGTCGTCCGAAGCCGTGCTCAAACGTGAACTGCAGGCCGCCCGCCGAAGCATAGGCGAGACCACCTTGGCCAGCGTCAAGCCATCGCGTGAGCTCGATGACTATAGCGCCTCGACAGTGCCGTTCCTAGGATCCCGCGGTCCTCTCAACCTGCGCACCGGCGATCAGGCTTGTGTCATCTCGGAGAAGCAGGGCTGGCTCTTCCTACGAACCATCTCCGGGAAGCCCGCCAAGGTGAACTGGGTCCGCCGCTGGTACTACTGCCGCGATGGCATCTTCGGCTGGCTCGTAGCAGGACCATCGGGTGTGCTCCAGGGCGATGAGATAGGTGTTCTGCTCTGCAGTGCCAAACCCGCGGTCCAGGAAGAGCGCCGTTTCTGCTTCGAGGTGAAAACAAAGAGCCAGACCCTGGTCCTACAGGCCGAGACTCAGGCCCAGCTCATCGAGTGGCTCGAGGTATTCGAGGTTGCCAAGAAACAGGCGTTCGAGGCAAGCCTGGGACGTGATAACGCACAATTCCCTGGCGGCATTGATCCTGCCTTCGCCATTACTCCGCCGTCCGTTCCAGAGTTCTCGGCAAGGTCGCTCGACACACAAGTTGTTGTTGGCCTCGGGTTGGATGATGGCAGCAGCGCCAGCGCCGCCGGCGCCCCCCTGGAACGGACAGCCACGATGGGGGTTCCTGGCTCGGACACTATACCGTCTCGCCCCAGTTCTGATGTTGGAAACCTCCCCCCTCCACGTCGTGCAATAACGGCCTTGGGCCGAGAAGAAGGCGAAAGCAACCGGGATCATGCCACTCGCCTCATGCGGAAGGCGCTTTACAACGCCGAGGCGGGTACCCCGGGATCTGGTACCATCGCCGGCCTGATTTCAGCCAGTCACAACCTGGTCCCCGCAACCTATGCCGTTGCCCCTCCGCAGCTGAGCATAGGGTCGCTCCGGCCCGGTCAGTCCATGGGTAATGTGGTGGGCCGTCCTCGACCGGGGGGTCTAGCCCCGTTTACCTTTGCGAGGCCACCCTCGGCCACTGCTCTCAGCAAGAACGCAGTGCTGGTGAGCGGCGACATGGGCATGGGGACGGACCGCAGCCAGGCCATGCCGACTGCGCTCATGGCCAACTATTGGGGAAGCAACTCCTGGGGGGCCATGTATTCAACCCCTGCCGAGACGCCCATGCCCAAAACGCCCATCGACGAAGATCCATTCGGGCCGCCTATTTCGGTGCAAAGTCCGTCGGGGAACGTGACATCCCCTAAATTCCCTACTGGGTCGCTTCACAGGAAACCCCTCAGCGCAGATGTTTCAACTCACTCGACACCTGCCGTTGTTGCCCAGGACGGCCCCGAAACATTCCCTAAAACCTACCCGGCAGAGCTAAAACCGCACCACTCGCAGTTCAGGCTACTTTTCCCGAACGTGCCCGTCGAGGAGAAGCTCGTCTTGGTGTTTAACGCCGGTTGGTCCAGCTCGTCCGAGGACGGGACAAGCAACCAGAGCCTCGTCGGCGGTGGCCGAATCTACGTCACGCCCGATAACATGTATTTCTATGGCTTCCAGATGGGCCTGATCACGGCCTACAAGGTCAGGCTTGACATCATCTCCGAGGTGACTGCCGCTCCAGGGAGGGAGTGCGACTTCATCTTTCTCCACCTTGGCCACAACATGAACGACACAGGGTTCACGAGGATCACCATCAAGGTGTTCCTGGAGAGTCTAACGTTGCTGCATGCCCGGCTCAATCTTTTAATCGATGACCTGCAGGCGGAGGAGCCCATGGACATCACAGGCCTGATCCAGGCGCTCGTTAACCTCGAGAAGGAGGATCTGCGTAGCAGGAGTCCCAGTGTAGAGAGCTGGGAGGAAGTACCATCCAGTACACCTGCTGATGACGGTACGCCATCTGGCAGGGCTACTCACGACAGGATGATTGGCAGGCGTGCCGAGAAGCAGTTACAGGGCTCTGCAGGCAAGCTCCAGCTGCCCGCGCATCCTGTAATCTATGAGCCTGAAGACATGCAACAGATGGTGGCAGAACGACACTTCGAGATCAGCGCCAAGGCCTGCTTTCACGTGCTGTTTGGTGACAAGTCGTTCATCTTCCCCAAGCTGTATTTCGAGAGGCGGGCTAAGGAGATTGCACAGGGGCCATGGGAGCTGGCGGATCACGGAAAGATGAAGCGACACTTCCGGTTCAAAGTGGAGTGTCGGGACATGCTGGGACGACGCAAGCCGGCCCAGGTCGAGGACACGCAGACGATCGAGGTGTTCAGCGACCACGTTACGTACGTGGTCAAGCACGTCAAAACGCCATGGCATCTGCCTCACTCGGGAGCGTTCAAGCTGGTGACCAAGGTGGTAATTACGCACCTGGCCAAGTCCAAGTGCAAGCTCGCCATCTGGACCAAGGTGGACTGGTCTAAGACGCCGGCCTTCTCCAAGAACATGGTGGAGCGGCAGGCGTCGGACGATGCGGTGCGGGACGCAGAGGAGCTGGCCGAGGTGGCGACAGACCAGGTGCGCAGGCTGGGTCCACACAGCCGGACGAAGCGGGCGATCCAGGTGTACGGCCATATCGGGCAGCAGACTCAGGTGGTCGTCTTCACGCCCGGCGAGGCGGGCTCCACCAAGAAGCCGCAGATCAAGCCGCGGACACTGACCAACATGATCTTTGAGGTGCTCCGGTCGTTCATGGAGAGCGTCGCGTCGAGCTTGATGATGTGGACCTTTGCGGGCTTCAAGAAGCTCTTCAGCATCTTCTCGGCCAACCGCATCATCCTGGCGGTGCTGGCGGCCAGCGTCATGACCAACGTCGTGTTCACCTCCAAGGAGAGCTCGACATGGTGGGCAGAGCGCAAAGCAGCCAAGTTTATGAACCGCATCGGCGTCGGGCCCAATGTCATGATGAGCAAGGCCATTTACGTGGCAGACTTGGACCAGGCGACCGAGAGCTCGCTCGTGGCCATCACCTCGAAACCGCCAGCTAGCGCATGGTAGGTGTCTCATTCTCTCCGTCCAAGTCTGCTTCTACGCTCTTATGCTGACCCTTCCCCTTTCGCTCCACTAGCTATGATATGTTCCGTGGCATTATGAACTCAACGGATATGGACCTCCCGTATCACAACGCAGGGTCAAACATGCTCTCAGGGACTAGCAAAGCGGCAGCCCGACGTCTCCGGCGCACGAGGCAAAGGCTCGGCTCGTACCGGCACGATCTAGTCGTTGCGATGCGGGTCGTAAACAGTATTGAGCGTGAGCTGATACAGTCCGAGTGGGAGAACTGGCTGCTGGACGAGAATCTGCGATGCGAGCAGGTCAAGGTGATGCTCGCAGGCAATGGCGAGACGGGCAAATCCCCAGACAAGGGAAAAGGCGGCATTTTTGGCGACAGCAGCAATGGCGACGGGGCACAGAAGGTGATGCGGCCGATCGACGAGCAGAGGATCTCGGCGCTCAGGGTGTGGCATGGCGACTATTGCGGCAGCTGCCGTGCCGATCAGGACTCCATCCTCAAAATGAGGGGGAGCCCCGAGGTTTTCGAGTAGTGGGCACGTGCGACGCGTCTCGGTGGTTGGTCGACGACGCAGAAGGACTGGGAGCCGGAGACAGCTTCTTGTTGTGGATGTAATAGCTGGGCATCAGTGCAATGAAGTCATGCCGCAGATGCCAGCACCTGTATTAATTAGCCTTAGGTTTCCTCGGAAGATGCCCATCTCTGGTTTGCAGAGTATTTGGCAGAGCTCGACCGGTATACACATACACAGTCACACAGCAACCCGGCGTGAGATAAACTTCTATTTAGCCTACTCCCTAGAGATACCTTCCCATATATATATATAAAGCAAAGAAATACACCGGGCTGGTTGGAATGCAGTCCGCCTCTACCGTCAGCCACTCCCGCAGCTAGAGCAGGAAGGCGGGAACGCTAACACCATGAGGCAGAAGAGCACGTGTGGTGTCTGAGGAGGAAGGCGGTCGGCCAAAGTCGTGAGCAACGTCTTTCTGAGTCTGGTCGGTTTGCTCGACCAAATCAGCGAGGCCCTGAGCGGATACGTGCAGAATCCCACCGGGGCATTTGCTCCTGAACCTCAACCCGAGACGGTGTTTGCTGCGTCACCATCCGTCATGACTTCCAGGCCCCACCTCGTGGGGGAGCACGCACGAACACCATGAGAGGACTTGGCACCTTGGTTGCTAATTTTAGGGCAGGCAGTCCGGGGCCTGATGAATGGCGGGGCCACGGCCCACCCCCAGCCAAAAGTCCGCGTTGCGATGACGTCAGCGACTTAGGGACGGGGCAGGTTGGGCGAGCGAGGCTGTGCTGTGACGGATAAGGTACCACCATGTTCGAATGGCCTCTGGTGGGAGGGGAACGGCATCTGAAGCTAGCCAATCTCTGTAAGCCCTAGAACGCCATACAATCCATCCGAAACAAGTTGAGCAAGTCCAGAACAAGAGCGCTGTCTCGTGGCCGCTGCTTCTTTCGCGAGCGTGATACCCTCTCCTCCATCATACCTCCTAAATCTCCATACGAATTACCGAGAACAAGCTACGCTCCACTACCTACCTAGGTACCTATCTTCTTCCTCCAAAGGTGTACACTACGACTGCAATCATCAAATGTCTCCGTAGCATCCTTCTCTAGCATCTCACAGCTCAGCAACCGCCAAACATGTCGCATCACAAGCCGTTTAGCTCGCTGTCCCCGATCGATTGGGCGTCGGTACCTAGCAGCGAGGCCCTCCCCGATTTTCTGCGCGGCATCTTCGCCGACACCCAGACCATCATCGACAGCATCCCACTTCCCCAGGGCATAGCGAGCGCGATCCATGGCGGCAGCGGCCACGGCCACGGCCACGGCAGGGCCAGGGCCAATACGGACCCCTCCGGCGGCTCAGTGGCCCTCAACAGGGCGCTGTCCCCCGGCGGCGGCGCCTGTGCCCAGACGGCCAAGCTGCTGCACAAGGAGTGGAAGGAGGTCAAGACGAACCCGCGCGACAACCCGCTCGCCATCAACGTCTACAAGCTATCGGCCAAGGACGGCAAGGGCGCCTGGTTCGCCCGCCGCGGCATCCACGAGGGCGTCCCCTTCGACAAGTTCCGCCTCGGCCTCGAGCGCGAGTTCTCCGAGGCCCTCAAGGCCCGCGTCGCGAACCCCAACGCCGGCCCCGGCGCCGGGGACGTGAGGGGCATCGGGGCGGAGAAGAGGGCCGAGTGCGTGCACGCCGAGGGGATCGGCATGCTCGAGGTTTACCAGCTGTCGGCCCAGTTCCCGGGCCCCACCACGCCTCGAGACTTTGTCACTCTCCTGCTGACCTCGGCGCCTGAGCCGCCCGTGGGCGGCGGCAGCAAGAAGAAGAGCCGGGGGCCGCCAGCGCCCAGGCAGTTCATGATCGTGTCCAAGCCGTGCGTGCACCCGGAATGCGCCCCGCGGCAGGGATACATCCGGGGCCAGTACGAATCTGTCGAAATCATCCGCGAGATACCGGTAGAGGTGCCCCTGCGCAAGGTCCGCTCGTCCATCGATCTTAACAGGGACGGGGCCGGCGACCTGAGCAAGGCGGAGCAGGCAGCGCTTGGGAGAGAGGCCATAATCCGGTCGGCGCGCAAGGCGACTGCTGGCGGCGCAGCCGGTGATGATGATGGTGACGGCGACGACGACGACGACGCACGCTCTGTCCGTAGTGATGTTGGGACGGTCAAGGACGCGGACGCGGCCATGGGCACGGGCCACGAGACGGAGATGGCGGTCGAATGGCTGATGGTCACCCGGAGTGATCCCGGTGGTAGTGTCCCACGCTTCATGGTAGAGAAGGGCACTCCCGGCGGAATAGTTAGCGACGCCGGCCGGCTACTTGATTGGTTGGCCTCTAAGAGCCTCGCGGATCTGGCCGAGGAGCCAGATCTCGACAATACCGCTGCGGAAGCTGCGGGCGGCACTTTGGAGGTCGCCGAGGAGGACCTCGAGGGCCGGGGGCAGAAGGGAGCCCAGCCGGGGACGCAAGGCGGTGCAGTTACACCAAAGGCCTCCAAGCCCAAAGTTCCTATTAGAAACCTGGTCCCGAATCCCGAGGCGCAAGCCGACGATGTCCCGCCAGTGGCGCCTGCTACCGGACTCTACAGCATGATCACGGGTGTTATCGGCGTCGCCGGCTTGGCCGTGGCGTCTCGGATCCCGTTCGGGGGCTCCATGGGGGCGACCGATTCCGAGCCGGAGCTGGACGGCAGGGACGACGACACGGCCCCGGACGACTCCAGCGACGCGTCCTCGGTGCGGACCTTCAACTCGGCCATGGAGTCGCCCGAGCATAAGCCGTCCGAGGACATACCATCTCTCGACGGCACGTCGACGCTCACCGAGGACACCTCGACCGAGACGCTGAGGAAGGCCCCGTCGAGCTACTCCAAGGAGTCCGAGTCGTCGTCGGCGGCGCCGTCGCGCGTGTCGCTGCAGCACGACAAGGACCTCCGGAAGCTGCACGAGCGGCGCAGAAAGGTGCAGGACAAGATGGCGAAGCTGCAGGAGCGGTCCCTAAGCAAGCAGCAGGAGGACCGGCAGCGGGACGAGCAGGCGACGGCCAAGCTGCGCGAGAAGCACGAGCGCGAGGTGGCGCGCCAGGAGGACAAGTACCGCCGCGAGCTGCGCAAGATCGAGGAGCGCCGCGCCGCCGAGGAGAAAAAGGCGGCCGAGCGCCGCCGCAAGCAGCTCGAGCGCGAGGAGAAGGCCAGCCTCGCCCTTGAGCTCGAGCACGCCCGCGCCGAGCTCGACGTCGCGCTCAAGCAGGTTGACCTACTCAAGGACCAGATTGGGGAGCTGCAGTACGTGATGATTTTCTTCTTCTTCTTTTTGCTGAATTGTCTGTCATCTCGTCCGCCGTGGCTAACTCGCAGTACCTCTTTTCTCAACCATGTACAGGTCGCAGAACACGATGCTGGTTGCGACGCTCGGTAAACATGGCTTGCTCAAGGGCGGTAGCATCGACGCATTGAGCGAGCTCAAGAGAAGCACCTCTTCTGTCAGTGCCAGGTCTATGAGGTAAACTTTCGACTGTGCCCAAGTTAGGGATCGTCTTTGGCGACAGAATGTACATTTTTGACTTCCGGCAGGAACCACTTTCGTAGCGCACAGTGACTTGCCTGGCGTTGAGAATAATAAAAAGCAGACACACAAAAGATCTCACTATTTTCTTCGTCTAGCAACTACCTGTACACATAAGGTGTCCTTCCGCCTCGTCAAGGCGCAGATGGCGCCTTGCCAGCCATGCGCACCAGAGTCCCATGGAGCCCGGCCTTCTCCCAGACCTCCCTGCCGCTCGTCAGCGCCGACGCGAGCTCCTCGTCCTGGAACGCCGCCGAGAAGGACTCAGCGTTGATGATGATCCTGCTGCAGACGTCAAAAGCCTTGGGCTGCGACGCCCACCCCAGCGGCGCGTCGGCGCTCCCGGCCGCGTGCCGCGTCAGCGCCTCGAGCCCCTCGGCGGCCCAGTCCCGCAGGTGGTCGAGCATGCCACCGCCCCCCCTGCCGCACCCGTCGGCGGGCAGCCGCGCCGCCACGCCCGCCCAGCGGCGCGCCTCGCGTACCTCGTCGACGAACAGGTTCTGCTCCTCGACGACAAAGAGCGAGTCGTCAAACATCAGCGCCTCGCGCAGCTGGTCGCCGGGCCGCCGCGCGACTGGCGGCTGGCCGGGGCCCGGGCCCGGGTCCGCGCGGATTCTGGTCTCGCCCAGCGCGCGGAGCACGGCGTGGTTGGCGAACTCGGTCGAGCACGCCGCGAACGCGGCCGTCATGCGCTCCAGCAGCTCGTCGGCCGCCTGCACGGGCACCAGCAGCCTGCCCAGCACAGGGGTCGCGGCGGCGGCACCGACGTCCCTGATCTCCTCGTCGTCGTCGTTGAGGGTGTCGTAGAGCGCCAGGAGGAAGGGTAGGTAAGCTGCGGACTTTGTACACCAGGTCCCGACGGCCATGGCGAAGGATTTGATGGCCATCGCGGCTGCTTCTCTCATATCAAACGCCTGGTTCGTATATACATACGCACAGTCAGCGATCCGAGTCAAGATTTGTGTCTTTTCCACATGCTCAAGGTTTGGTCACTCTCAACTCACATTGTCGGCATGGCCTGCCTCGCTGATAGCAACCGCCCATGCGCGCAGCTGTCTGTCCAGTGCCTCATGTGCGACGTCCTGGCCATGCTGCAGTGCGAGGGATGCCATGATGGGGCCGCTGGCTCGGATGCTGGCCTGGAGGGTGCTCGGATTGCATTCGGAGCTATGTATGGCAGCCCAAAGCTCATTCAGCTCTCGGGGCGAAGGGATATGGCTGATGTCTTTTCCGGCTATGAAGCCGTCTAGCAGGCTGGTGATGTTGTTGAGAGCCGCGTATCGAATCTCGAGGTCTGGGGTCCGGCACGCCATCTCAATGTAGGCTTGACACAGCTGGGACAAGCTGCTACTGGGAGCCTCGCTGGCCCAGAGCCTCGGGGCGGACTCGGCCACGAGTGCCGCAGCGTTTGAATCTAACGTGGCCAGCTTGAGCACCACGTCCCGTAGTAGCTCCGCATCGCCCCGAGCCGCAGTCCATCGGGCAGCTTCAAGCCCCAGCTGCACTTGAAGGAGTGCAGGGGATGTACTATTGGGATCGTCACTCAATATCGCCAATATTTCTTCCCTGAGCGGTGTTGTGCCGTCTGGGTTACCGCGCAACGACCGTAGAATCAGGCTATACACCTCAAGATGTACCGCTTGGGCATCTGAACAAGCTTTGAGAACGCCGAAGCCTGAAACCGCGTCGAGTGCGAACAAGAGGATGGGAAGTTTGTGATCTGGAGTTGACACTAGATGTCAGCTAGAGCCATAAACAACAAACTGGACAAGACAGCGCTCATACCATCCGCGGCCACCTCAGAACTCTTCTCCATGAGGAATTTAATGGTCAAGAGGGTCCCGTGCAAGCGGTTCGCCGAGTTTCGGGACTTCTCTAGCAGCCCCTGTATTTCTGTGAGCCAGTCCATCGAGACGAGGAACGAGCTCAGAGTACGCGCTGCTATCTCCCTGACATGCCACAGGTGGCTCGCCAGGTACTCAGAGACGCAGACATAGAGCTGGTCACGGTGCGAGTCTGGTGGCCCGGCACGTCGGATGATATCCAGTGCCGGGAACACGGACTCGGCGGCGCGCCTCTGGGACTCAGTGTCATGGGCGCCCTGGCCCGACTGTAGTAGGCTGATGAGTATGGTCGGCAGAGTCGGGTATTTGACGTAGGATATCCTGATTGTTCTGCCGTCCCAACCACTCTCTAGGAGCGCTTTGCTGTCCGAGTTTCCAAGTAGGCAGTCGATGACACTCCTCAGAAGAAGTAGGCCGCAGTTTCGAATCGCCCACCTTACGAGACCATGTTAGTGACATTTAAAGGTCAAGCAGATGGATAGAGGGATGCGTTACAATTCAGATCGCAGACTGTTCGCTGCAACTTGAAGGAATGTCGGCAGGTACCGCTCGGCCCTCATGCTGAGCAGCGAACTCTTGAAAACATCCTTGACGCAGTTTAGCGCATGAACCTGGGGCAAATTGGACCCATCCGTTTCCGCGGCCCGGGCTGGGCGTTGCGCGATCTCGCCCAGCTTGTTGATAACTTCGTCGAACGAGGGCCGCGTGGCATTGGCGGCGAGAATGCCCGTCATTAACGCCGGAATTCCGGCCGACCTCCTTGTTGTGGATACTTGGGCAAAGATACAGTCGATGGTTCCCTACAAGTTTATGGTGAGTGCGTGTCAGGGATCGGCACGCAAGTTTGAACCAAAAAACCCTTACCTTGTACCACGAGAAAAGTAGCCTCTCTTCTGCGGGTGCCTCGGGAGATGTCACCAGTGGGTCTTCAACCAGCTGACGGCATGTGGTAAATGTGAGAGAGACGGTGCTGAAGGCACCACGATGCCTTAGATTAGATAGTTGCTCAAAGGTCAAGTTTCCGATGTCCCCAAAGACCTCGCGCGAAGGCAACAGCGCGCCTTTCATGCGACTAAGCCTCAGGGGCGCCAGAAATAAGCGCATGGTGTTGCTTTAAAAGAGTGCACTTGTCAGCTTTTGCGTATTGCCGAAGCAGGCAGATACCTGGGCACGTATCTCTAGGCTTTCCCAGATCCTTGACAAGGATACAGTGAGGACAAGGATATAGTGAGGAGAAGGGTGGGACGAACCTGGACTCGTGTATTGCTCGGAAGCTGTAGCTTAGAAGCCCTTTGGTGTCCAAGCCCTCTGCATCCTCCATCTCCTGTGGCAGGTGACCTTCAGGAGAATCATCGCAGAGGATGGGCTTGACGACACTCCATATTTGCCGACAGTATTCCACAACGCGCTTCTGAACAGCGACGAGGCGCTCCAGGTCATCGCTTGAATACTTGGCCTTGGTCAAAACCTCCCAGATACAGCTGAAAGTTGTTAGCTTGATGCCGTCTATCGTCGGTCCGAGCGCTTCGGCTCACCTTATTGAAGCAAAGTCTCCGTGGACGGGCTGTTCGACCACTGCCTGTGCAATGTCGTGCTTCGCAACTCCTAGCTTCTTGTCGATTTCATTAATCACCTCGTCCAGAAATTTTAGCTGGTGGTCGAGCGACGTGGACCAGCTACACAAGAGCCCCTGGAGGCGAGCGGTCCCGTCACCATGATCCGCACGGCCGGTTCTGGATGCCAAGGCACTTGCCTGGATCCTAAACTCTCTCACCACGTCCCAGAGCTCTGTCGAATGCTGGCCGTTGCCCCCGGAGATGGGCGACTTGACCACTGCTTGAGGAGCGAGCATGAGTAGTGAGATTGCCGTCTCCCGGACGTCTGAGAAAGGATCAACGACTAAGTCGAGTATCGAGCGGATCCATGAGTAGTCGAGAAAGATCCGACTGTTAGACATAGCCCTTGTAGTAGCGCTCTCGCTTGAGATGTCTTTTCCGGACTGTACAACCTGTAGCACAGCCCTCAGCGCGGTGATGTGCCGCTGATAGGAGGCCGTGGGGACTAGCTCTCCAAGCAGGAAGCCGAGGTACCACTCAAAAAACGCCTCGTGATCTTCCAGTGCCTCTCTGGAGACGGCGTGCTTGAGCTCGGCCTGTGTGGGTTTGGCTGCTGCTTTGGTCAGGGCTCCTGTTTGGGCGGCAGGCTTGTGTCCAAAAGTTATTGTGCCGCGAACTCGCTTGATCATGATCTTGGTGTATGTGAGTGCCTCTTGTCGGAACCCCGCGCCTGGATCTGAGTAGTAAGAAGGCAGATGCCTTCTAATGAGGTGCAACGCCTCGATTGGATACGGCTTCGAGAGGGAAGGGGATGTCACCAATAGCGACAGAGCCAGCAGTCGCACAGGCGGCGAGGGATGAGACAGAACGCCTTCCATCACTTGAACATCGAGGACTACAGACTTTGACGCCTTCTGACTGGAAGCCGACCCTGGAAATTTTTGTTACTATCTCGAGTACGTCCAAAGAACCCAACATCGGGCATAGCAGCGGGCTGAACCGTGAGTCACAGGAGTAACGTGGCTTACCTGGGTCATCCACCAGCCCAGACTTCTTGCCAACCTCCAAAGCCGCTAGCCTGAGAACAGCTATGCTATCAAGCTCATCCTGGCTACCCTCTCCAGACTCGGTTGGTCGATTGAGGATATCTAGGAGCTCTAGGGATAGGGGGCGATCCTTGAAGAGTGGGCCGAAGATGTACAGCTTCATGTTCTCCAGGATTCCAGGGTTGACGCGGAGCTCCTTATGCAGCCATGAAAGCCAGGTCTGGACGGTGAAGCCCTGGAGATTGCTGTTATCTATGCTTGACCGAGCAAGCAGGGCTTTGAACAGCGTGACAATGAACTTGCCAGCAACCGAGCAGACATAGTGCAGGTACATCCATGAGACTAGATCGCCACAGAATCTCCTCCACAGGTCGAGCTCGGGGAGGGCTGCCACCGCGGGCTCGACCTCGCGATACGTGCGTGCAATGTCATCGAGATCATACACGGACCTGCCGAACAGGTGGTTGAGCGAGTTGATGCACGACTTGACCAGGGGCCTCGTGGACTGCCGTGTGATGATGGAAACCAGGCTGACCAGGATCTGGCTACGGACGGCAGCAGCAGTCTTGGGGTCCGGGTTCTGGCCGATCAGCACAAGGAGAAGATCGAGAACGAGCTTCATAGAGCGGTGCTGGTCCTTTTCGTTCCACTCTATGTAGAAGTTGAGCAGCGTCATGGACGTTGGCTCAGAAAAGGCCCAGGTTCTCACTGGGGCATGCCGAGACTTTGCGCAGTGCTGTACAAAGCCGCAGAGGCGTGTGCAAGCCAGCACCGACGAGTGGCGCGGCTGTGAGGCCCCGGTGAGCAGCTGTTCATATATCTCCTGGGAGCGGCTGATGCGTGGGTTATTTCTTGCGTCAGTCAACCTCCTCTATTTTGTTATACTAGCGAAGGGCATCCTGTATCTGTGTACACAGCCTGGTCCACCCACAGTGTCAGAGAGGCCTCGGGTTGTTCTTCCAACCATGCGATGATGTCGTTGGCGTTTACTTGGGGATCGCCCAGATCTGGCGGGTTGAGGCCCTCCATCTTGAAGGCAGCTGCCAATGTTGTTTGTTCTAGTCGGTCTCTCAACTGCCTTCAATCTTGGCCGAGTCTGTTTTCAGGGGAGCTTCCAGCGCTGCCCCTCCATCCCATTTCTGCCCTGGTGAATTTTTGGTGGGCTTTAGTGGACGAGCTCACCTCAACCCCTCAAAGTGGCTAGCTTGCAGAAAGGGCCCACAAAAGCTCAATCCTTCTTGTTCGGCACAGACCAGCTCGCTCCGTCATCGCCCGCCGCTAATTTTTTTTTTTTGTCGAGGCTGCGAATCGAAACCTGGGCAAAACCGCGATCCCACTTTCAACCGCCCGCACTACCTCGACAATCACCATCGCCTGTCCTCGACGACCTGCCGACCCGCCCCTCGTCCTCTCCACGTCGACGAACACAACCTCGGGTTATTTGTTACCATAGCAGCTGGGAGGAGCTACCTTCGTCCCTTGGTTGCATTCCTTGAACTTAGCTTGACAGCGAGGGAAAAAAAAATCCACACAAAATGGCCATCTGGGACACACTGACTGGGCGCAAGTCCGACTCACAAAAATCCTCCACACCTACGCCGACAGCTCCATCGCCAGACGCAGGAGCGCCGCAGCTGACACCCCTCTTCGACTCGTCACAACCCCAAGGCGTCGACGCCTTCATCGGCAGCTCCTCGTTCGCTGACCCGTCACAACTACATCCCCTCGCCGGCCTCAACAAGGATGCGCTAGACTACATCACCCTCGAGGACTCGGTGCTGTCCGACCTACCCGGCTCACAGTCGGTCATACCCTCGCGAGGCTGGAGCGACGATCTCTGTTATGGCACCGGCATTACATACCTGTCCTCCCTGGGTGTCGGTGGAGCGTGGGGGATGCAGGAGGGCTTGCGCAGATCCGCCGGCCAGCCCCCCAAACTGCGACTCAACTCGGTCCTCAACGCCGTAACCCGTCGCGGCCCCTTCTTGGGCAACTCGGGCGGTGTCGTCGCCATCGTTTACAACCTTTTCAACTCGTACTTTGGCTACCTCCGTGGCAAGCACGATGCCGCCAATTCCATCGCCGCCGGTACGCTGAGCGGCATGCTGTTCAAGAGCACCCGCGGCCTACGACCAATGATGATCTCTGGAGGAATTGTTGGGTCTGTCGCTGCGGTCTGGGCGGTATGTATATGTTCTATGCTTGGCGGTTTAGCTACTATGTGACACCAATCCGCAATCCCCATGCTAACGAACACCATCTTAGGTTGCGCGCAAAACATTTGAATCATCCTCGGATAAGGAAAGGATCTCATTATAAGCAAGGGGTAGCCTCACCGCAGCAGCCCACGAAACTGGCGGTTGAACCTATTTTGCCAACTACAACTACCTACCCACTTCACATTCTCTTTCCCATTTTCAGTCAGGCTTTGCCTGGCGCTGTGTAAAAATTCATGTATCCACATACCCACCTATCCGTTACGACGTGAGCGGCAATATTAATGAGGCGAGCACTTCGCGTGCGCCCCTAGGCGAGTTCTCGATCTACCTGCTGATGGATGAGGAAAATGAACGCTTTTCCTTATTGGCAGATCTGGCTTGGGCACACAATCGGGGCATTTATCTCATACTACGGTGATTATCTCTACTCCTCTCTGGCAACTGTATTTTTTAGAACGGAGGTGGGTCATATGCGTGTACCATACCACATCTAGTTGAGCGCGGAAGGGCGTGGAGGGCGTGTTGGGCGTTTGATTCTGCAATGGACTTGGATTTCCCAACATCCTGTGGGATTCGTGATGCTAGCTATGAAGGTGAGCCTGACTTGTGATATAAGCTTAGGTATGTGGTCCATATTCAACGTATTGTCAATATCAGGTCCCTAGGTACATACTAAGATAGAGTTGTAGCCCATTTTTATGTGGCAAGGGCTAGACAGGGGATGTGCGCTACTCCGTTGTTCCTGCTGTCTGTTTCCATCTGGTATATTTACGGTCCTGTCTGACTGATTCCCTCGTTAACATATTGCAAGTTCGGGTCCACGTCACATATATTGAATTCGACTCGACTGACGTACCTCCTTGCCCTATCCGCTGGTTCTTGCTACCACTCAACACTTCCTACCGCTTTTCCAACGCTTAAAGGTTGCAGTTGAATGTGAACATTTTGAGCGTAGCATTGACCTTGGACCAAACCAGCTCGACAAACAGTCCTACGACGACATCATGTGTTTCGGCTGCCTCCCTTGCTTTCCGTTCGCGGCAGTCTGGATGGAGGACGATCCTCGAGGCAACAACCCGTACCGGTTCCATCCTGGCTATGTTGAAGGTCAAGAGTGGCGCGCGAGTGAGCTTGTTTTGGCACCAATAGTATGTTCCCATATCTCCCCTTTGCTTCAACTTTCCTTCACCCCCCGCCCACACCCTCCTCACCCTCCCTTTACCCGCCCGCCACCTAACGTCCTGGCAAGGCAAGGACGGAGGCAAGGACGGCACGGCACGCACCCCCTCCTTCGCCACTTCCCTATTTGGACGACCCAAGGGGCCCAGACCGCCGAAGTCGCCCGAGGTTGTGGTAGACGAGGTCAGAAGTGGGGCGAGGAACTCGACGCAGGCCCCCTCCCGCACATCTGCCCATACAAGTACCAAATCTTTTCCATATTCACAGCTGGAGCCGCGCCCTCTCTCCAACCCAAAGCATCAACCAGTCCTTCCGATTTCTTCCTCTTGAAATCTCGGATCGGGAAAGTTTGCTCTCTCCCACAAGCACACTCGGGCCCAAGGTCGCTCTCAATATTTGCCCACCTAGCCTCGACTATCACAAAACTTGCACCTTCATCCTCTCAAGGCAATCGTCACCGCTCGACAACTCGTGAAGAAGCCAGGTCCTCCATTCAGAGCCCAGTCACAAGCCCATCAGCCAGACAGACAAAATGGCTGCCGACTACCAGAACGCCGGTCCACCCAACCTGGGCATGAACTACCAGCCCCAGGTTCCTGATACGACGTATGGTCCCACGACGCACGTCCACCGCCCGCGCTTCGATCATCCTGGACTCGTGGCTGCTCAGCCTGCCATCTCCGTCAGTGTCCAGAGCCCGCACGCAGTCATGATCCCCCAGCCTGGAATCCAAGTGGCAATGGGTCCTATGTTCCAGCCTCCGATCATGGCCGCCCCGATCCAGATGCCGGTCTGCGGTCCCTTATCTTTCACTGCAAGTTCAGAAATAGAGCAGCGTATACCATCTGGAGCCGTCCAGTCTCGCGCGCCGCGAAGAAGGCCGAGTGGCTAGAGCGGCTCATGTCGATCTGGACTGCGTTACTATCCGCCTACCCGCCTCGGCTCCGAGACCTGGAGATTGGACCATAGTACCGCATGCTCTGAGCCTAGGAGTTGTCGGCTGACAAGTAATCATTCAGGGCGCTGTCCAAATCCCGGCTCCGGTCGCTGCCGTCACGGGACCTCCTGTCTTCTTTCAGCAGCCGATCCCCTCGGCTCCCATGGTCATGCCTGCCGGCCCTCCCATGGCTGTTGCTTCAGGAATGGCCATGGGCCCTGGAATGTCAGTCGGACCCGGAATGGCTGTCGGACCCGGAATGGCCGTCGGACCCGGAATGGCTGTTGGATCCGGGGTCGCCGTCGCGCCCGGCATGGCTTCCATGCCGGGAGCTTTCCCTGGTATGCCGACAGTCGTCGCGGGCCAGCCAGGAATGATTCTCCAAGGTAACTCTGGTGCCTGGCCCGAACCTGCGTGCGGCATCGGCCGCACCGGTACCGAGTATGCCGCAGAGCAGATGGAGATGGCTTATGCAAACAAGTCCTTTGAACCGCAGGATTTTAAGCCGGCCGATGACACTGCGTCTCGCATGTACATGTGTCGCGAGCTAGACGGCAACTGGACACTGCGCAGTCGCTATTCTATCGACCGCATGGGAAAGGAGTGGAGATGGCACATGGCTCCGGAGGGCTACTTTTATGCCGTCCGCTTGCCCAACTGAATCTTTGCGCGCGATGGGTTTTTGAGGCAACTGCAAATCAATGAAAGTCTGGTAAGCCTCCAAGGGACACCGAGACATGATACCCAGTACAACACACCGTCGAAAAGAGTCTACTGACAGTCGATACAGTCAGGATATGCTGCAGTTCCCTGTCAAATCCAATCTTCTGATCCTTTACTGGATTTCGATTTGTCGGGTAAAAGCTGAGGTACGAGAGTTTTATGAAGAAACAAGCACACTCTTAACGCCTCTAACATTCTTTCATAGCCATGAGAAGCGACGAAAAGCATACGCCCGCTCATCCCACATCAAAGTCTGCTGCCGTCGTCGAGTTCTCGACTGGAACCGAACCGAGTGGAGAATATTGCGGGAGGAAATTGGCCGCAGACTCAAGAACTAGATGCTCGCTGGCTGTTGCGCTGAGCTCAAGACGAAAATATTATCGCGGTGGAATCTCGGAGATGGGTTCATTGTAGCTAGTTTCATCTCGAGGTGGCGAAGAAGGCAAGACGAGAACCGACAAATTTCTTTGGTATCCATCGATGATTTCATAAGTCGCAGGAGAGCAGCTAGTCCGAAGACGAAAACCCTCGGTAGCATGCGAGCGCGACGGGTTTGAGAGGTTTGGTGGCAGGTTAGTGGTTGGGATGCGGTGTCGTCGGGATGAGGCTCAAATGCATGGTTTAAAGTCCGGCAGTTTGGTGGCTGCCAGGGAACAAGGGTCATGCCAAGACAAGCCTAGGCCAGCACGTCCGCTGGACCGATGGCGTGGGGTCCCCACTGAATCCCTGTAGATCACGCCAGGCGGGTAAGCCGAGCGAGTGTCACTGCGCAGCCCCCAAACGTCTCCAGGGCTTCCCCCATCTCCCCACCTCGGCTCATGCCTGGTCGTAGGTGGTTTTCACATGAACCCAACTCCATTGTTCATGCTCAAAAACAAGTCCATGGCCGGAGATAGAAGGTAGAATTAATAACGGCCCCAGCGAACCGCAGACATCACCCTGGAGACGACCGTACCATCTTGGAAGCAGCAGTCCGTTGTGACTTTCAATTGGCTTGGGGCCATCCACCTTTCTTTCGTCGTCGGCCCGTGCAACATCACGTCATTGGACAACATATCAAAGCGACACAAAAGCCCGCCGGGAAGCGCACAGCATCAACGTGGCACCATGCTGCTCATCGGACTTACCGGCTCCATCGCGACGGGCAAGTCGACCGTGTCGGCCCTGCTCTCGTCGCCGCCGTACTCGATGCCGGTTGTCGATGCGGACCTCCTTGCCCGCCAGGTCGTCGAGCCCGGCACTTCGGGCTACAAGGCCATCGTAGCGCACTTTGGGTCCTCGACGCCGGACCTCCTCCTCCCACCGATCCCTGAGGGGCAAGACAGCGTGCCGGCGGCCGGGCCGGTGCCGAGGCGGGAGCGGGCGCGGGAGGAGAAGCACGGGCGGCCCATCAACCGTGCGGTGCTGGGGCGGCGGGTCTTTGGCGACGAGCCGGAGCGGCGGGCGGACCGGGCGGCGCTCAACGGCATCGTGCACCCGGCGGTGCGGCGGGCCATGTACAGGGCGCTGCTGCGGCACTACCTCTCGGGCCACCGGGCCGTGGTGCTCGACGTGCCGCTGCTCTTCGAGGCCGGCATGGACCTCATGTGCGGCGCCGTGGCCGTCGTGGCCGTGCGGGACCCGGCCGTGCAGATGGCGCGGCTCCGGGCGCGCGACCCGCACCTGTCGCAGGAGGACGCCGAGAACCGCGTGCGGTCGCAGGGCGACGTGCGCGACAAGGCCAGGCGCTGCGAGGCGCGCGGCGCCGGCAGGGGCGCCGTGGTGTGGAACGACGGCGACAGGGCCCAGCTCGAGCGCGAGGTCGCGCGGGCCGTCGACGAGATCTACGCGCGCAGCCCGGCCTGGTGGAGCTGGGCGCTGCTGCTGTGCCCGCCGCTCAGCGTGGCCGTCGGGGCGTGGAGCTTTTGGCAGAACAAGCGCATCAACCGCAGGTGGAGGGAGACGGAGGAGAAGGAGAGGGCGAAGCTGTAGCGGCGCTTGGGTTGGCGGGGAGGCAGGCTGTAGGATGAGGGCGAGGTGAGGGTCGTCTGTATTGATACTGGCAAGGCGAGAAGAGATGCCTCGCTGTAGGCAAACAATCAGCTGCTGACGCAGACTGTTCCTCATGTTTCTTCTGCCTTTATACATTGCAGTGCAATGGGATGCGGTTTGCTCCATGGTCGGCTTTTTGGGAAAGATCGGATGGGTGGATGTTCTTGGCCCCATGGGCGCTCCTTCCTGTCGTTACTGGCGCGAACCGGCTCTGTCCAGTCACGCACCTTCATCGTCTGATAAAGTGCCAGATTGTTTGCTCTCTTTGCAATTTGCTGTCTTCGCAACGCCCACGGCCTCCCCCCAATCAGTCGTGTCCTCTTGCCTTTTCCATCTTCCCACACCTTTGTTATTTCTCTTTTCCCAGAGCCCTTTTCTCTACCGCGTTGCCCTCCCAACTCTCTTCTTGGGTTCATCTTCCTCCCCAACTGCAACTCTACCTGGACACCTGTGTCCGCACCGCCGCGACCATGCCTCCGCACTCCGTGATAGAGTGGATGATCGGCCAGAACGTCACTGGCCGAAGGCCGAGACCACCCAAGCGAGCGGCACCCAAGCGAGAAGTGGTCAGGGTCGAGGTCACTACCGACGACGAGTCCGGCGCAGATGCCATCAGCATCACATATCCTCGCACCGGCCCCGCCAAGTCTGATGGCGCCCATGTGAAGAAAGTTAGGTTCGATTCTGTCCTCAAGTCGGCCCTCAAGACCTCATCGTCGCCCGACAGCTCGAGCAGCTCGTCAAGCTCGAGTCCCAATGGCGACTCTTCAACCAAGAACGGCGCCAAGGCTTGCAAGCTCAAGGCTGCACTTAGCGATGAGAGCAGTGACGACACCACTTCGGATTCGGAACCCCATCCGACCTGCCTCTGTCGGGACTGCAGGGTTGGGCGACGGCGGGCGAGAAGACTGAGGCGTATGAAAGCCAAGGCCGAATCGTCGGACGATAGTAGCACCAGCGAATCAGAATCCGAACCCGAGCCCGCTCCTGCGCCAGCCCCCAAGCCTCAGCCCAAGCAGAAGAACAAAGGCAAGCAGAAGAAGCAGGAGGCAAAGTCCCAAAAGAAAGCTCCGGCACCCGCTCCTCCGCCCACTCCTGAGCCCGCAACCGACACATCTGAGTCGGACACGCCTGGCGAGACAACAGATGGTACGCAGACCGAGGGAGAGAGTGAGAGCGAGGCAGAGGCTCTACCGCCGCCGCCTTCTCCTGAGCCCGAGCCTGCGCCTGCTCCTGCTCCCAAGGAAAAGGCACCCAAGGAGAAGAAGAAGGCTGCCAATGCCGGAGCCAAGGGCAACAACAAGGCCGACAACAAGACCGCCAATACTACCGACAACGGAAAGGACAAGGATTCCAACTCTAGTGAGAAGAAGGGTGGAAGCGATGCAGGTTCCCACGGCTCCAAGAACTCTAACAGCAAGATTTCCAAGGGGGATATGGACAAGGCCGAATCGCGATCCCAGGAGCTGCCGCCGTTCTCTAGCAACGACGACGCTAGACCGCCTCATCTACTAATGCCAGTCAAGGCCCAGATTCTTCAGGTCGAACATACCATTGAGACTCCGGACGACCCACGGCCGAACGCTTTCGTTAACAATGAGCATGGCGTCCTCCGTGTCTACCACGGCCCTGCGTACGGCAACCCGAACGGCAACCTCTATCCCCAGCGGAATTGGTCGGGCCAGCCACCCTCATTGGGGATGCCCCATCCGCTCAACAATCCCTATATGTACGGGTTTGGAAACCCGGGAGCCGACCGGGCCGCCAACGCCCTACCCCAAGGCCCCTCACATGACAACCAGATGCCACCGCAAATGATGTGGCCGCCAGCTGGCATGGGACCCGACGGCCCACAGCCTCACATGATGCCTCCCGGCGCGTTCCCTGGCGGCCACTTCATGCCTCCAGGCTGGCCAATGGGCGCTGTCCCTGGTCCTGACGGCAATCCTATGCTACCCGTGTTCCCCTATGGCCCTCCACCTGGCCCACCGGGCCCAGGCAGGCCCCCTCAGAAGCCAACAAGCATCCGATCTGGAGGCTCTGTTCCCCCAAAGTCATCAGTTGTCGGGGGACTTGAGCTGAACTTTGATGGCAGCGGTCGCCCCGTGACAGCGCCGTCGAGCAAGGGCAGGGACAAGGACAAGGGATGGAGCAACAATGTCGCGCCGCCGCCACAGCCTTCGGCAGGAAAGGGATCTCAGGCGCCGCAAAATGCCGGCAGCGCCTCCAAGGACCCATGGCAGACGAATGACGCATGTGCTGGAGCAGGGCACCCGGGCGTGGACGGCAGCGGTGGGTGGGGCCGCGACGCCTTTGAAAAGCCGCCATCAGGCTCGGGGCATGGCTCGCATGGGAATAGAAGCAATAACAACGCCAACGGCGGCGGAGGATGGGACAACAACAGGCCATCCAGCGACCGCCCTGGCTGGCCTCCTTCCAAGCCCCCGAGCAACCAGAACTGGGGAGGCGGTGGCGGCGGATCGAATACTGCCAGCAACCAGATCTGGAGAGACGGAAATAACTGCTGGACTGGTAACGTATCCAACACCAGCAAAAACCAGGATTGGGGAGGTCCCGACAACTGGGGCAACAGCGGCAACTCGGGTGGCGCACCGGCGCCATGGGACACGGGCTCGCACAAGAATGCATCCGCAAAGGCGCCCTCTCAGCACTCGGGCTCTCAGAAGAAGAACAGCAATAAGGGCAGCAACAAGGGCCCGCCATCGAACGTCTCGGGAACGAGGAACAATGTCGCCCCGGGCTCTTGGGTCAACGCAGACAGCCAGAGCACGACGGCAAACAGGGCCCCAGCACATGGCCCCAGCAGCCAGCCCCCTCAAGGCTCACCGCCTGCTAACCAAGACACAGGCAAAAAGCAGTCCGGCAGCGGAAGCCAGCAAGGAAGCAACAAGAGCAATGCCGGACGGAGCAATGTAAGCAGCGGCAGCAACAAGAACAACGGGGGCAACGGGAACGACTGGAACAACGAGAGCGATGGCAACAATTGGAACAACGGTGGTGATGGCAACAATTGGAACAACGGTGGTGATGGCAACAATTGGGACAACGGGGGTAATGTCGACAATTGGGACAACGGGGGTAATGGCAATAATTGGGATAATGGAGGCAGCGGCATGAATAGCAGCCCACCCAAAGGTACGCCTCCTCCCCCAGACAATCCCATCCAGTCCAGCACCCCAGCCGATGCCCCCGCGGTTGAAGCTGACAAGACGCCCTCCGACTCAGGAACCGGAGGAGCCTGGGGCAACACGTTTGATAACAAGTCGAACAATAGTGGCAACGGAGGCGGCCACGGCCCTGGGGACTACCCCAGACGCCGGAGCGAGCGCATGCCCGGGTCCTGGGAGTCGCCCCTGCCAAGCGCTCACCCGCACCAAGACGCGGCCAACGACCCCCGACCGTCGGGAGGAAGCAAGAGCGGCAGCGCCGCCGGACGGGGCTGCTCCCAACGCAGCGCATCGCACCACAGCGGACCGCCGGCAATCCTCGCGGCCGTATACGACAACAACGTCGCGGGCGGCGGCGGCGGCGGCGGGTGGGACAACCAGCCGAGCAACAACCCCACCACAACCGGAGGCGGCTGGAGCAACAACGGTGGTGACGGCCATCCGGGCGGACAGCAGTCTTCTACTGTTGGGGACGCTGGATGGGGCGCCGGCGGAAATGCCGGCCCCATGCCCTCCTGGGCCGACCCCAGCGTCGCCCAGAGCACCAGGAAGTCCCCCTCTGGCACCGAGTGGTAGTAGTAGATGGTGGTGGCGCCTACCCCGGCTGCTCTGGTGGGCAGTTTGCGGCTTCTTCAGGCTCATCAGAGCATCCATCAAGGCGGTGGTGTGGGTGGTCCGCGGCCTGGCCATGGGCGTACTTGGCATTCTCTTCGTCTGCAACGTCGTGGCCCGAGAGATGCTGGGCGGCTTCCTCAACTGGTGGCTGCTGGCCATCCTCGCGTGCGTCTTTGGCTGCCAGGCACGGGCGTACCTGACGGATAGCGCGAGGCGCGATTCGATATTTTCGGTTCCGGGGTGGCTGTGATCCGCGCACGGAGAGGAGATGGTTGGCAGTAGCAGCCGGACCCCTTCCCCAGATCGGGAGGAAACCTCCCATTGCGGGCCCTTTGTATGGCCATATGGATTTGCTTATTCTGACCAACCGTGGGCGGTGGTCCTGTCGTTATATTTGACTGGGAAAGACAACATTCGGGAGGCGGGCTAAAGATTGCAATTCGCTTGCTCACTATCTTTTCTTTTCGGAGGTTGCTTCTTGATCGAGGCGCTATCAACCCATATCCTCATTTGGGGGAGGTGCTATGTTAATTTGATAGATGTTTACATCTGGGTCGTCAAACGAGGACGGCAGGGGTGCCAAAAGTCGGCACCCACATACTCGCAGATAGATGGAGGGCGTCATTGTCCTTCTGGAGGAGGTTCGTGATAGGCGCCAAGTAGTAGCGTCAAAATAAAACTCCGGCACTGCAATCCTCACAACCCACAGAAGGGCTGGTTCACGCAATTCAACATGTGCATATGATTACCTGCCTATCCTGAACCGATCTCCCCAGGTTCCCGAAGCCTAGCCTTGGACGAGTATAGGCGTCGAGTCACTAGCAGTCAGGAGAGCCATGAAGGGAACATTAGTCGTTTAGTTGAGGAGATGGTTAACAAGGTTTTTGGAAGAAGGCGCCAAGATCTGGATGACGATAGAGCTGTGCCACTATGTGGTTCCGCCTACTCCTCGATATGATTCCCAAAGCCCGAGATGGCCTCTCCTCCCGCGCGCGCGCTCAATGCCTCCCGTAGGGGAGAGAAGAGGATGGAAGTGTAAAAGAAAGCCTTTGATGCCAAAGTACAAGAATGACGCCCTCCCCGGAAAAGGCTCTCTCACGTCTTACTTTCCTGGTCTCACACAGCGTCGTCCTACCAAAGATTGGAGCGGCCCACCAAATAAAGGAGCACTCAGCGCTCGAGGCGGTGTGTGTGTATCACGTCGGGAGCTCGACATCTGCTCCGCAGGCTGGTTATATTGGGGAAGACTGATGCATACCAACATGCTCAAGCACCAGGTCTTGTTCGGTCAGAAGCTAGATGTACCCCACGTTATGCCCAGAATCATCCAGGTAGACGCCATAGTCGTCCTCGTCCTTCATGTCGAGGAAGCACTCATTCGGGAGCCTCTCATACAGTCCGCTGACCCCGGGGTTGAGAAGCAAGAACTTGAGCACCCGCTCGCTGCCGATGGCGTTGAGCGCCGGGGGGCCGGCACCGGTGCAGAACCCTGCGCCGCACATGGCTCGGCCGCAGAACACGGCCAACTTGGGCCCCACCAACCCGGGCGCCAACTTTGGCACCAACCCACTGGGGGCAGCCTGCAGCACACCCAACAAAACTACCCCTACATACTGGCCTCTCAGTAGCCACAGGCCCGTCAGTACCCCCAGCAAGATGAGGCACGCCGTGCTGTGACTTACGACGAGGCCAGATGCGAATGATAGAAAACTGCTGAGCGGAAAGAATTTGGTTTTTTGTATCCAAGCATACTTGGTCACCTACTCACTCACTCACTCCTTTTCTCTCACCTGGAACTCACCCTATGTCGCCCCCTGCTTAGGTTGAAGCGGCGGCAGCTCAGGGCTGGCACTTAATCCAGACTTGGGAGAGGCATTCCTTTTCGGGCATGACTATATGGGTATGTAGGCGATGCATGGGATAAATGGAGAGAAGCGAGTTTTGACAATTCAGGAAGGGGGTCTACCTGACGCTACACAAGCAATAGACGCACAGCACAATGGCCAGTTTTGTTTAGACCGTATGTTTCTCGCTCACTCCTGGCTTTTCTCCTCGCTCTTTCGATTCTTACAAACGCTTCGCCTTTCAAAAAGACGAAATTTCAAAAGCAAGCACGACGGACATTGATTGAAACTGAGTGGTGTACATGGTAGCGAGAAGAATAGCGAGCGTGGAAGAAGACAAACACGTGGTATGTCAACCCGAAAGCAGCAATCAAAGACTAACCGACCGATCGGGGTGAAAGAAAAAAAAGCCACCAAAGAAGAAGGGCTGCAGACCGAGTCTCGCAATCAAACAAGAGGTCTTGTGAGCCTTTTATTCCTACTCATCGTCCGAGTCCTCCTCATCGGCCTCGGCGAGCCAAGTAAGGAAGGGCTCGGCAGCCTTGCGGACCTTCTTGGACGTAGCCAGGTCGACATACTTCTTGCTGGCGCGGGTGCCCCACTTGGTCACAACCTCCTCGGACACGAGGTCGTGGTGGTAGTACAGCTGAAGGATCTTGACGACCTTGTCCAGCATCTCCGCGTGGTCTTTGCTGAGATGCCCAATAAGCCTCTCGGTACCGCCCAGGAGGGCCTTCTCATGGCGCTCGGAGCTGACGATCTGGACGGGAGGAAGACGTGTTAGCTAGGAACGAGTGACAACAGGAAAAGGATACACATTCAAATCTTGACATACCTGCTTGAGCATGCCGGCACGCTTGGTGATCTGCGCGCAGATGTTCTCGTTGAAGACGGTCTGGACAAGGACAAGAACAGTGCGGTGCTTGGTCTCGATTCCAAGCTCCTTGGCCTTCAGGTAGATGTCGAGATCGTCGACCTTGTCCACGCCACCCTTCTCGTCGGCAGATTCCTGGATCCAGATGCCCAGCTGGTCGTAGACGGTGTTTCCACCGCCCTCGCCGTCCTCATCGTCCTCGTCGCCGCCTATGGTTAGCTTCTGCTTGAACTCGTCGGGAAGCGACTGCTGGCGAGCCTTGACGGCCTCGGCGCTCATGTCGACAGCCCACTCGTCCTCCTCTTCTTTGTCGGCCTCCTTGGCAGGAAGAGTCTGCGCCTCGGCCTTGATCTTACGGGTCAGGGCGTCATCGTCGTCACTGATGTCGGCGGCCTTGTCGCCGTTCTTGTCGCCGTTCTCCTTGCCGGAGCCGTCGGGAGAGTTCTCCTCGGCGCTGTTATCTCCGTCCTTGGCGTTCCCGTTCTGCTTGGCCTTGCGGGCTGCCTTGCGCTCGGCCTTGTCCTTTTTGGTCTTCTTGGGCGTCTGCTTGAGGATGAAGCCGCTGAGCTTCAGGCGTATGTCGACGTCGGAGCGGACGCCACAGGCCTTGCAGTCCAGGATGATGTGGCCATCCTTGATGTTGACCTCGGTCTCGGGGTTCTTGCACTTCTTGCAGAGCACAAATTTGTTGATGAAACCGTCGAGGTAGTCCTGGAGCTTGTTGGCGTCGTGGGCGCCGTTGATGATCCAGCGGTCGTCGGCAGGGTCGAGGTTGGTCTGGGCACCGAGCTCGAAGCCGAAGTACTTGATGAGGTAGCTTCCAGGACGGGCGAGCTGCTGAGCAACGTTGCTCAGGTTGACGACAACGGTCTTGATGCCGTTGCCCTTGCCCTCGATCTTGGTCTGGAGACGCTCCATCTTGTAGCGATAGAAGACGTCGGTGACATCGCGGCGGACGTTGATGTGGGCAGCCATGGTTGCGGTTGGTGGGTGGACAACAAGGGCTCTGTGCGAGGCAGATTGGAGAAGGGAGCGAGGCTTCTTTGTGTCGAGCGGCGGCGATGGAAGCGAGACAAGGAGATCTGACAGGAGGATTTGATGGCGAGCAAATCAGCTGGCTTGGCGAGACATGAACTTCCTGGCGCGGAAGGGGTCAGGAGTCGGGCGAGAGGGGCCGAGGGGTCAGTAGTGAAGCGGACGTTGCGTCAACATAGGGGACAGGTGTCGGCTGTGCGGGATCAAAGGCATGAACGCAGGGCGCTGTCCGGTTCAACCGTCGGAGAAGAGAGAAGGACTACAAGGTATCCGCGGTATGCGAAATGATTGCAGCTTGGGCGGGGAGTGTCTGAAGACGGTGATTTTGTCGTGCTGATACATAAACAGCTCCTGTCTTCTGGATACCGGCTCTTGATGATGTTCCGATGGCGGAGATGCCGAGGGGAGGGGGTTGTGGGCGGCGAGGAGGCCGTCGGGCGATGGTGGCAGAGAAAGACGGGGTGGTCGAGACGGGGCGTGTGCGGGCAGAGCAGTCTTGTGCGATCTGTGTCGGCTTGCTCTCTCTCTCTCTCT